CCCAATTTGTTATGTGGATCAGTACCTTCAGAGCTGGCGGACAGGCCCATTGTATGTGTTGTTTGCTGTGCTTTCCTTATGCTATCATAGGTCATCATTATTTTATGGCACATAGTGAAAACACAGCAAGAATTTTAATGACAAGAAGATCAGATCATAAAATGAAGGCACGCTTCCTGATCTGAATGCCAGAGAGACTTCGATGAAGGGTGAATTTACTCCTGGGTCAAAAGCAACATAAAATCAGCTTATAATTGTACTCAGTTTATCACCATAGAATACAGTTTTCATTTAATGTCTGAGTTGTAAAATTATGCTTCTTTCCTCTTTTTACTCATATCCTGAGAGCTTGATAATGGTGTAAAGTATAGATTATTATACTGATCTAAGAAAACACAAAAAGCATTCCTTATTATTTTTTTAAATTAATGTGTAAATAGTAATCTGTGCTTATTTTGTTATTAATTTCCCACAGTTTCTAAAATTCCCAGAACATTTTTTACCATATACATGCATCAATTATTAAGCAAAAAATCTGTACATGATTCTACTGATGATTTTAACCATATTCACAAAAGCAGACATGAATACCTTGATAATAAATGTAATTATTCTGGCTACACCATGCTAATGAATTTTTCACATTTGACTTGACTTTGATTTGACTTTGTATGTTTTTTAATGCATATTATGGTGTTTGCACCCTTTTCAGAAATGCATATCCAATACCCTCCACCTCTTGAAATGTATCACCACTCTAACAAATGTATCTTGACAGTAGTAAATTAATGGTAGTGTGCATTCAGTGATTTATTTATGATATAGATCAAACCATGCATTAAGAGCCCAGGACTTCATACATTTCATCTTTATTGTTTCCATCAGAACAATCTCAGTTTTTCGATGCCGAGCTACCTTTAGTTGGCAGAAGTTTTTTGCTATAAATATATGGTCCAACCTATAAATCATATTTTTGTTAAATATTTTCCAGAAATATGCATGCTTTGATTACCTGAAATGAAGGGAATAGAAATAAGACAAAAATCTACAGCAAAAATCTAAATAAGTTCTCCCGTGGTATCAGCTGCTCAGGGGGGTGTCTTTGGAAGATGTACAGAGCTGTTAGACATACAGATGTTTCCCCATCTTGACCAGGCAATAATCATCCTCTGTCATTGGACAACTTTACCTTGTACAGGGAACACATTTCTAGAAAATACTGTATAACCATGAAGGAGTTGAAGGTGTATTTATCGCCTTTGATGTTCTTAGGGTGAGAACTGGCATTACCAACAATTTTTCTTTAAATATTCTTTGTTGTGCCATGCTGTGCAAGCCCAGTTTGGATTAACAAATGTGGTCCTCGCTTCCTCTCCCTTGGAACATCTTATGGATGACCATGACATCACAAAACTGGTGACTTTTTATGATACTTTGCAGTCTGGTGGTCCACACCCCTTTGCTTCCTTATACAGGAAATGGCACATGATGAAGAGTGAGAGGACGTGGCCAAAACTTTTCTATAAGATGTTATTAGTGGATAAGCTTGTCCACTTCAAATTTATTCACCAGCTGCATTACACCCATGCTAAGTTGAATCGCATGGGGTTGGTTGATCAAGCTAGTTTTCTTAGATGCAAATGTCTTACATATGTTTTGGTCCTGCCCAAGGCTGGCAGCCTTTTGGGCTGAATTACTTACTATGCTGGTAACCCATTTATGTTTGAGAGCTCCAAAGAGGTTTGCTTACTTGGAGTAGGTTACATCTTTGTTCCACTTACTTGCAATCATATCATGTTTAGTTTGATTTTTTTTAATGCAAAAAAGACACTTCTGTTGCATTGGAAAAATCCAGCTATGCCCACCCTAAACTATGTCTGTAGTTTGATCGATCAGGCACCACTCCTTTAGAAGCTCATTTATAAGGGCCGTGCCTGTCCTAAAAAAAAGTAAAAAAAAAAATATGGCAGCCCTGGTTGGATGCACTGGCCTCTCAAGTGGTGAATCTGGCCTCTTCACAATCCCCTCTTTAAAAACAAAACTGAGTATTATTTAACTGGGTGGTGTTTTTGACATGCATTTATCAAAACTCTCTTCTAGATACAGTAAATATGCTGCACAATGACTTCCTGTAAGAAAGAAGCTTACAGTATATGTCTAATCAAATTATACTTTTGAAGTTTTAGTAAAGCTGGCCATAGATGGGTGGAATCTCAACCAGTTTAGCAGGGACTGGCTGAGATTCAGTCCATGTATGGGCAGGCTGGTTGTACTGAAGTCATTCAATTGACTTTAGTACAACCAGCCTGTCAGATTTTTTGCATGCTAAAGTTATCATTGCGGTCTGCCGCCAGGTCTGGCTAACAATTTCAGTTCCAATGCCCTAAGTACTTTCTGAATAATTGGGCTTCAACGTTTCTCTTATTTAAAGTGGTTGTAAAGGCTAAAGGCTTTTTTTAACCTAATTATGGTAAACAAACCTTTAATGCTCAGCTCTCCCCAACCCCACAGCCCCCCTTATACTTACCTGAGCCCAATCTCAATTCAGCCATATGCACAAGAGCATTAGCTCTCTGCCTCTCTGTTGGCTCAGAGACAGCAGTGGTTGCTGTCAACCACAGGGAGTGAGGAGAAAGGGGGGGGGGGGGCAGCGAAGCCATGTTCTGTGTGTCAATGGACACACAGAGCCACTTAGGTGCAAGCACATTTAGGAGCAAGCACATACGAATGCTCCCACAGCAAGAAAAATTAAAATACATTAACAAATAGGAAATAGAAGATTTATTGTGTTTTGATCAAAGATGTAAAAAAAAACAAAAATGAATGGATTGCTCCACCTGCACTCTTGGGTCATTGTATGCTGACAAGTGATCATTGACTGCAGGCGATTGGCTGCAGCTGCTGATCAAGAAAATGTTTCCAATATTCCTGTTCAACAGAAGTTGCTCTAACGATTGACTTCAGTTGGACAGGGATGACCTTGCATGGATCGAAATTCAGCCAGTCCCTGATGAACCAGACAAATTTCATTCATCTATGGCCAGCTTTAATTGCATCATGCTTGTTCTTTGTCAGTGACTTAGATAGTATTGAAGTATAGCAGCCTATATAATTTTTCTCAGTGCTCAGTACTTACTCAGTACTGAAATCACAAGTAGTTTTGTCAGCCCTAAATGGATTCTCCATGATGGACTGTAAAACATCTCCCCTCCTTCTCATCTCCTTCGCATAATGTGGAGAATTTCTGCAGTCCTGCAAAGTAGAAGTTAGTTAGAATTGATGGCAATGGTTGGGATTTCAGCATATAAGAGGCAGCATTGTCAACCCATATCAGGAAATGAGGATCACAGTAGATCTATGGCAGGATGAACAGGTATTTTTCTGTAATTGCAAGATTTTTAAAGAGACAAATAGGCATGTATTGAATAACTGTACTGCATATGTTTCTCTTTAATTTTGCCAGGGTATATACACCTGGGCAATACAGGCATACATATACTACTACAAGTTAATAGCATGTAACACTAATCGTTGTAATAAACTGTTCTATCTGTGCACTGATTTATGTTCACAATACATTTAGCATATCATATAAACGTTGGAGGTTGTTAGGCACTGCTAGAATATCAGACATGATACGTAAAATTAAACATACACTATATTGCCAAGAAGTATTGGGGGATTCCTCCAAATAATTGGATTCAGGTGTTCCAATCACCTCAATGGCCACAGGTATATAAAATCAAGCACCTAGACATGCAGACTGCTTCTAAAAACATTTGTGAAATAATGGGTCGCTCTAGGGAGCTCAGTGGTATTGTGATAGGTTGCCCCTTGTGCAATAAGTCCATGCGTGAAATTCCCTTGCTACTAAATATTCCACAGTCAACTGTTAGTGGTATTATAACAAAGTGGAAGCAACTGGGAACAACAGCAACTCTGCCACGAAGTGGTAGTCCACGTAAAGCAGAGTCAGCGTACAGGGAACAGAAGTTGCCAGCTGTCTGCAGAGTCAATAGCTAAAGAGAATGGTACTTGCCTGGCTGCATTGTGCCAAATGTAAAGTTTGGTGGAGGGAGGATTATAGTGTAGGGTTGTTTTTCAGGGGTTGGGCTTGGCCCCTTAGTTCCAGTGAAGGGAAGTCTTAAGGGGTCAGCATACCAATACATTTTGGACAATTTCATACTCCCACCTTTGTGGGAACAGTTTGGGGATGGCCCCTTCCTATTCCAACATGACTGCACACCAGTGCACAAAGCATGGTCCATAAAGACATGGATGAGCGAGTTTGGGGTGGAGGAACTTGACTGGCCAGCACAGAGTCCTGACCTCAACCCGACAGAACCCCTTCGGGATGAATTAGAGCAGAGACTGTGAGCCAGGCCTTCTCATCCGACATCAGTGTTTGACCTCACAAATGCGCTTCTGAAAGAATGGACAAGCATGCCCATAGACACACTCCTAAACCTTGTGGACAGCCTTCCCAGAAGAGTTGAAGCTGTTATAGTTGCAAAGGGTGGGCCAACTCAACCCTATGGACTAAGACTGGGATGTCTTTTAAGTTCATGTGCGTGTAAAGGCAGGCGTTCCAATACTTTTGGCAATATAATGTATATCAGCTTGTAGACTGACATGTGCTGTTTTTTACGGTAGGTGAAAAAAAATATTAGACTGTCTTGAATAACAACCAATCAGATTTCAGTTCACTATACTCAGATCATTTAAAATAGTTTTATTTGGTTATGATTGCATTTAATTGTAATATCATTTTTGCTCTTTATGCCAATTTTCAGAATGCATTGGATAGTAAAACATGATTTAATTGAGAATTTCAAATGTAAACGCTCTGGAGATGCATTGCAGTTCTTTATTATTTTAAATATCTGTTTATCTGTTGTTTTTGTTCTTGCAGTTCATGTACAACCTGGCACTTGTGAAGTGATTGCTGCTCACAGATGCTGCAATAAGAACAAGATTGAAGAAAGGTCACAAACAGTAAAATGTTCATGTTTTCCTGGCCAAGTTGCAGGGACTACGAGGGCAGCCCCATCTTGTGTAGATGGTAAGAATTAATTCAAAATCACAGTTTTATAAATACCTACCCTGCATATTGATATTAAGGTACAAAAATGTTTTAACAATTATAAACCTTAAAGTAAACATGTGGTCATCATATCATTTAATAATTGACATGTTCTTAACAAGAACCCTGCTCTCCCCATCCAGCAGTGATTTAGAAACCTTTCAGTATTCCTATGTCTAGAGTAAACACAGAGCAGGTGCTTTAGGAGGGAATTTCAGGGCAAGCTGAGCTGCTGAGAAATCTTACTTGAAGGACTTTAGTGCTTTTGCTGTGAAATTTGAGGATGAATTGCTCAATGGTACCTGCAGCTACAAACATCAGTGAGTTTGTTTTAAAGCTCATTTTCTAAAAATAATTAGATAATCGAATGCCCAAAGCATAGCCACAGACTCATTTTTAGATCTCTAGAAAAAAAGAAGCATTTCTTTAATAGACATGTGCACGCTGAAAATTTTTGTTTCATTTTGGATACATTTGTTAATTGAAGAATTTTGTTTTGTCACATTCGTTATTTTGAATAGATTTGTTTTGTTTCATATCTTCAGCACTTGTTTTGTATATTCGTTGGCCTGTGTGGATACGAAAAACTATATAGAAACTATTTGAATTTGCTCTATAGCATAACAAATTTTCCAAGTTAATTGGGGGATTTCATCCTCCAAAGCACCCCCCATGTTGAGGGCATGTGGCCTGGTATGGTTGGGGGGGTGCACTTGCTTGTCCCCCCCCTTTCCTGGCCTGCTGGGCTTCATGCTCGGATATGGATCTGGTATGGATTTTGGGGGGGGGTTAAGTTTTGGTGTGGAGTTCCCCTCAAAATCCATACCAGACCCAAAGGACCACACTGCTTTTTTGAAAATTTGTAATGCCAATACTTGTTTTGTTTACATTCTGCTATCAGTGGGGAATCATGCTGACATGATGAGTCATGGTTGTTAAGGATGTGGAGACCGCCAGCTCCTTAGCAACCAGCTATTCACAATGAATTTGGATAATTTGTTATGTTATCTACTTCATTCGAAGATGTGACAACTTCCAAATGATACAAATGCATTTGTTATTTTCATTCATTATAACTTTTTGGATTCATTGCCATTCATTTCTATGTCTATTTGGAAATCTGGATACATCCAACTCTTTGAAAATTAAATTTTTGTCTGAAAAACTAATCAAAATGAAACAAATTGCACCTGTCTACCCTTTAATTTGCTTTTTAACAAAAATCATTGCTTTAAAACAGCAGGTAAAATGAGTGTATTGTCAGTGAGTTTGACAAACACAGCGGGGAAAGGAAAAGAAAGTTAGAGACCATAACAACTTCTACAGGGGCAGTTACACATTTTAAGACAAGGCCAGCAGAAAAAAAACACATTAAATTATTAGTTCACTTTTTAGAAAAAAATAATAAATGCACATTTTTTTTCAGGTAAAAAAAATGTGCATTTATTATTTTTGTCTACAGGAGCCTGGAAAGCATTGCACCAACGATCAGTAGATCTCTGATGGCATGCAGGTCTCCTGCAGACCTGTCAGAATATCTGCTTGCCATATGGTATGTACAAGCAAGCAGATATTCTGACAGGAAGCTTCAATGAACTACCAAAGCGCTGAAGTAGTTAATTGAAAACTACAAGCCGACAGCCGCTAAGGCTGTCAGGACTTGCAGTTCATTCCTTCACAGGAGTCTGTAAATGAATGATGCGACTGTATGGGTGGCATTTTCAAATTTGACAAATAGTATGGAGATAAGGAGGGAGGGAGGTTACAGGAACATGTTACATGTTACACCCTAAAAATGGGTGGAACATGTAACATGTTCCCAAAGGTGAACTTATCCTTCAAGTCTCTTCTACAAATTCGTAGGTTTTGAAACTCTGATCCTCTAAGAATTGGTCGAATTTATAAAAAAAAAAGGCTTAATTCACAAAGTTAATGCATCAAGATACTTGTTTAACAAATATGACATTATTTTCAGCTAAAATACAGATCCTTAACCTTGTGTTACTTGGACCTGAACACATAAAAGAAAGCTTTACTATGTTATAGGAAACATTTAGTTAAAACAAAAAAAATGAAGCATTTGCACAAGTGGCATTACTTACCTTCAGTGTTCCTTGTGCTACTGTCTTTTGGTTTAGTAGAAATCTTCCCCCTCTGATAACCCCCCTTGTTCCCTAATTTTCCAGTAGAGTGGGGGTTAATGGAGTTGTGATAAGTGATCTACCGGTATGCAACATCCTTCTGCTCACATCTTCCATTCATAGAAGTGGTAACTACAGCTTCTATTCATGAAACATGACCTATGAATGGAGGGGGAGGATCTTTCAATCTTCTGCCCAATCTTCATTCCTAAATTGATTTAATTCATAGGAGTTGTAATTACGGCTACTATGAATGGAGGAGCAGGATGAAAAGGGAGACATAGTTGGGCACTTTGATGAATACCTGTCACTGCTGCCTCAGTTCTATTAACCCCTGCCACACTGGCAGATTAAGGTGGTGGTGGTGGTAGGGGGCATCGAAGGATGAAGACTTCATGAAACCAGAAGACAACAGCACAAAGTACACAAGTAATATCCCTTGTGATTATTTTTTGTTTGTTCATTTTAATCAAACTGAAGCTTTGTGTTCCTAAGCTGTGTTCCTGCACCTATAGCCTCATAGTTGCATACATGCAGTGTGAGATCATCTAAGGCAGCCTTTCTCAACCAGGGTGCTCAGGCACCCTGGGGTGCCTTGAGGTTTCTTCAGGGGTGCCTTGACAAAATGTCTACAAATTGGCCAAAACTGGTATACAAGTCAGTGGGTGGAACAAACCTGCCTTTTAGTTACACAAAGCCATAGGTTTTAATTTTTCACCATTACAACCTTCTAGCCACCGGTGTCCTGGCAACCAATTACATCATCAGTTGATAAGGAGAATGTCAGCTGCCTGCACAGCATCCTAGTTTGACCCTGCCCTGCCCCTCTCCATCAATGCTGGACTCACATTAGCTCAGTGATGGAGGGAGAAGAGAAACAATGGAATACTACTCAGTATCAGTGTATAAAAGTGTATTTACGTTGAAGAATAAATCACCCCTAACATTGGGTGTCCTACATGTGTGGATGTTGCTGCATTATAGAAAACTATTAGAATAGTTTTTCAGATTGTAGAATGGGGTGCTCTTTTAAAATGATGGTTTTAAAATGGACAGTCTAGAACACGGTTGTCAAACTGGTGGCCCTCCAGCTGTTGACAAACTACTAGACCCATGAGGCATTGCAAGATTGACAGTTACAAGCATGACTCCCAAAGGCAGAGGCATGATGGGACTTGGAGTTTCAAAACAGCAGAAGGGCCTCCAGTTTGACACCTCCGGTCTACAGGCACCCCATTTTAGAATGTACAGATAAAATTCATGGCCCGATTAACAAAAAAAAGTTTTGATGTAATCTCATGTTTCTGTTCTTGCTACTGTATGACATGTTGGTATTTTTTTCATGTTCAACTATCACCACAAATGATTTGTACTGAAGAATAAGGGCATCTGAAAGCCGCTAGATAAAAGAAACTTTCAAAAGTATATTCATATACACATTTACAAAAGCCTTAATTAAATCTAGCCAACCCAGTGGAAATAATTACAGTGAATTAAAGGTATTATTGCATCAAAAAATGTTTTTCAGTATGTAGAACAAGATACAGCAATGTGAAAATACTTCTTTTGTTTCATTACATATGCAGTACCCATTACTGATCCATCCTTGTAACAGATCCTCTTCCTGAAGGTAGTTCATATGCATAATTAACATCCATGTGCTCATTAGCACTCCATGTAGCAATATATCAATCCTTTTTACACGTACACCCACCACTATTTACGCTGTAAACATCAATGTAAATCAAGAGCAGCATTCATTTTTTTTTCTTGAAATAAAAAAGATAAAACAATGTGTAAAAATTAGGTACCAACGTGCAGTTGATTTTTAAGTGTGATCTATAATTATTATCAAAGTTATTCAGCAAGGAAAGAAAAGAGCAATGAGGGCGTGAAAAGCTGTAAATCAAGGCAGTCACCATAAATGTGCTGCTCTTATATTGGCTTACTATAAATAAATAAATCGGGTGGGTTGCTATATGTTACTAACTTGCACATCATCTTTGATCTAGGCATTGCTCTGTAGAATAAGCTAGTTTGTTTTCATGGACATTTGCACAGTTTAAACTGAAGTTATAGACCAGTAAATCTCTCAAGAAGAACAAGAGCTGGATTTGAGGGTTGACCATAAAGACTTTCCCCCAATGGAATCTGGAATGTGTTCTCCCACTTGCCAACTACTTGGGTCAAAATTTAGATTAAAAGGATAAAATAAAATATGTGAACAGGAGCTAAGAACTCCACTACCCCCCCCCCCCCAAAAAAAAAACAAAAAACGTGTGAAAGTGGTTGTAAACCTCAGACATGAAATATGAACATAGGATTTCTGTCTGCTGCATTGTTCCTCTGCCATTAGCATAAATCACTTCTGACAAGTTTTCCTGACACCCAGAGAAAAATGGAGACGGGGAGGGAGCTCCAGTAGATGGCCTTTAACTGACAGCCTCAGCTCTGTTCCTGTGAGCTGTGTAGAGGAGGGGTGTGTCTCTTCCTTCCAATCAGCTCTCAGAGCTCTCCTATACTGAGCTCTGCAGAGTAAAATTTCAGACTTCCACCCCCTTTTTTCTAAACTCTAAGACAAGCTTTATAAATTGTGTACTTTGAGGGGATGTAGAGAAGAGAAAACTACAGATAAATAGGTACATCTTATGCAGGAGGATTAGTTTAATCTCTGTGTATCACCTGAGGCCAGTCACTTCATTGGGTATAAGTAAGGGTTTACAACCACTTTAAGAGATGTTTTTAAAAAAGAAAAAAATATTTGCTAGAACGCATTCTTTGCTCTATACTTATTTATATCCTGCACAAACTACCCTACTTGATACCAGACAATGACAG